TTTTGGTGCGCTCTGCCTTGTGATAGGGCTCTCATAATGTTTCACGAGTTATGTTTAATCTTCGGACAAAACCGCGACACGACTTTTGTCTTCGATTGTACACACTCTGTAGCACATCGCCCCATATAAACACAGGGAATGGTTCAAGTAAACCGCGTTGAAGCCTCTGTTTATCTTCCCTTGCCAACTGTTATGAACGCCTGTCTTCTCCCTCCTCACGTTCACGCCCCAACAAACTTGACCAGCCTGGGGTCCGATTCTCAAAGGTTCGTATATTGGTTATTACTCGTAACCGATGACTGAAAGGCAAATAATACTATCTGCCAGTGACCCTTACTGCAGGAGAGTCATTTCGTGGGGGTGTTAGGACCACCATTTGCGTCACAGAGTCAAGTGGACGGTGATAAGAGTGAATCCTGACCTGCACGTCTGATTGTCACTCTGAGAGGTTAGGTGATAAGATAATTCGCCGCCAGGAGAACTAAGGTTAGTTCACACAGTTTGAAGTCGCACATTATTATCTGTCGTGGCCTTCACCCTGTGTATCAATTTAAATCATATGTTTTCATTCATCCCATTATCTAATCAGTTCATTTACCTTATACTTTTTTTCTATTTTCTTATGCGTCTTCAATTAAGTACAGAGCACCGATAAAGTGACTTACTGACATTTTAACATCAATCAACATGTTCTTCATAATAATACCCACAGCAGGTCATAGTCTGCCCGCCCCCTTGCTAATACAACACATTAAAAAACATTTCAATGAACCTAATTTGTTTCCCATAGCATTGTTATCTTCGGAATTAAATTAAATGGTTTTAATGATGTGTATCGCATTCAATCAACAGTGTACAATTAAATGAATCAAATTTCATTAACTTTGCAATTTACTGTCAACGTCACAACTATATCTTTCCTCATTACCGAAATCAATTTACTGACATAACAACTCATTGTTTTTATTTAATTTTTTCCAGTGCAGCTCTTGCGACGTGAGAGCCAGTGGCAGCATTACAGCAGGAACGGAGCAATGTTCGCGTGACTGTCTAGTTCCTTGTCCACAACACCAGAGCATTAAGACGACGATAGTGTAGTGTAGTCCACTGAGCTGTGCTGGAGTGACGTGTGTTCCAAGGACCTCCAGCACCTGAAGACCAAACACAACTGTTTACATTATGTGTACTACCCTTGTTTCCTTGTTTGTTCCAGAAGAAGTACTGTACACACAATATGCGTTTGTTTCAGTATGAGTTAGGACGTTTTTCTAATATCTGTTCAGTCCAAAACCTCAGTATTAAGGCCCTCAGGATGCGCCACTCATATCAGGACTTCATAACACTAGAACCTCCTAAGAACCTCTCGACCTTTTCTTGAGACACTCCCACTCCTCCCTAGACAAGGATCCCCCCAACCCCTCACCAAGGTAGGAGGGATGATTTAATTGGCGTACTGGGACAGGTGATAGCGTGTCTTTTAGGCGAGACGAATCTTTTAATGTTATCGATAAGCGTCTCAAAATGGGTGACTCTCTTAACTTGAATCTGTCGACAGGATACGTGGGGATCGTCAGTGTGGATTACAGTATATACGCCGTGAACACAATAACAAGTACATCATGATTACAAGAACTGAATGGGAAATACATCACAGAGCACGAACACAGTTTCTTAATGATTCTCCAAATTCTCCAACATCCACATATACGATGCTGTATATATCAAGAAAGTTCGTCTCTATTTGTAGGTGCTATGATAACAGACCCTTAGGTACGTACACCAGCGTTACTTGTGCAGAGGAGCGAGAGCTGTTAACACACCTTTACTGACCACCACCACTGGTGCCATCCGTCACATATATTCACAAACACAAAAACAAACAAACTAATAAACTCATTTACCTACAGAAAATACACATCTCACACACACACACACACACACACACACACACACACACACACACACACACACACATACCAGGCCTGCAAATCTTGTGCCATAAGACCGTAGGGCCGAGGAAGACTGTCCCCGCCCCCTCAGAGTTAATAATCGCTATCTTGTACCAGACCAGTAAGTGGCGAGGCAGGCCCAGTAAACACTCCACAGAGAGAAATTTAATGATACCTAGTGGAGTTCCCCAAGACTCAGTACTTGGACCATTATTATTTATTATAAACATAAACGACGTAGATATCGGCATAGACAGCAACTAAATTTGCTGATGACACTAAAATAGGACGTGTAATTAAATCTGACGAGGACTCCGCAAAACTACAGGAAGATCTAAACAAATTTTTCGAATGGTCGGAAAAATGGCAGATGAAATTCAACGTGGACAAATGTAAAGTACTCAGTATAGGAGATGTAAACAGGGAAACCAGTTACCAGATGAACAACGATGCCATTGTGGAATCCGACTGCGAGAGAGATTTAGGAGTAATGATAAGTAGGAATCTTAAGCCAAGTAAACAATGTGTTTTTGCTCGTAACAAGGCTAATAAAGTACTTGGGTTCATACAAAGGAGTGTTAGTTACAAGACTAGCGAGGTCATCTTAAAATTTTATCTAGCGCTTGTGAGACCTCACCTGGATTACGCAGTTCAGTTCTGGTCACCGTATTACAGAATGGATATAGAATCCTTGGAAAGAATCCAGAGGAGAATGACAAGACTAATCCCGGGCATTAGGAACCTTGAGTATAGAGACAGGTTAAAGCATCTTAATCTGCACTCCCTTGAGAGATGTAGAGTGAGGGGCGACATGATAGAGGTGTATAAATGGAAGTCAGGGTTAAACAAAGGGGACATTACAAAGGTACTCAAACTATCCAACCAGGAGCGAACTCGTAACAATGGTTTTAAATTAGACAAATTTAGATTTCGGCGTGAAATAAGTAAACACTGGTTTGGAAACAGAGTAGTGGATGAATGGAACAAGTTACCAAATATCATCATTCACTAGAATATGTTGGATAGCTTCAAACATAGGTTGGATGCTTATATGAGCAATAGGGGTTGGGTATAAACGGGACTGCCCAGTATGGGTCAATAGGCCCGCTGCAGTTTCCTCCATTCTTATGTTCTATCGTAGCAGCCAGGGGTGGTGGTGCATCTGAATCACTATACTGTATAAGCCATGCTGTATATTTCACCAACTGCTTCTGTAAATTGAACTTCCGTGGTTGTTTACATGTTAGGACTTGGTTTAGTCTCCTCTCTATTGGATGTCACTTTTTATTTGGCTAAACTCAGACGATTTTATTTAGCACAGAGATAGATCCTGAGTGCCCAAGGGGTTAATTAAGTCAGGGGTTCCATAAAGTAAATATTATAAAAAAATCAATACAAAAATCGGTTCCATATGCGTCTGTAGAATAAATTTTTGGTTCACTATATTACAGAACAATAAATTTTGTGTTTGATATAACATTGTACCATAAATTTCGGGGTTTCTTAAGCACTTACATTCTCTCCTAACACACATACACACATACCCCATTAACATACACCACACCTCACTCAAGATAAAAGATTCCACCCAATTAAACTCTCTCTCTCTCTCTCTCTCTCTCTCTCTCTCTCTCTCTCTCTCTCTTGACAAACGCCTGTACATGTAAATTAAACCTGAATTTACAATAATATTTTACTTATTTCGTAGGTATTGATTATGCCAGCCTCTCAGTCCTAATGAGCTCAAACCTAACGTCACCAAACTATCAGGACTGGGGTCCATTTAGTCAGGGTTCCAATGCTAATGGTTTGGCTGGGACCCATTAGCAATGGGCCCCAATCCAAATAATCTGATTATGTTAGGTTGGGGCCTATTTTAACTAGGGAGTGGGGGGGGGGGGCTCAATTTACAACTTCGAGAAAAAAACCCCTACTTAGTATTGATATTTGGGCCACGTGAATGGTTGTGTTCTCTCCCCTCCATAGTGGCACCAAACTTGTTCTTAATCACATATTAATGACTCGGTCCCCTCTCAAGTCAATGGTCCTCATCACAACTCCCTCCTAGTGAGAGACTAATCCACCTTCTACGACCTAACCCCACTCTCAGATTCCCTCACTCCTGTAATAAATGTCTCACATGTCACACAGCTCTCCTCTGTATCAATATACAATCTCTTCTCGGCTGGCATTCGTTTCTGGCATCACTGTAAATCCCTAACCTAACACTGCATCAATACACAATATCTAAACTCTGCCACTCGTTCTATCATTGTTCCTGTCATCAACATGTCCCATGATACAGCCTCTCCTTTATCAGCTTCATCAATACATAGTTCCTTAGGTCAGCCACACTCGTGAACCGGGAGCCTTAGAAGGGGAGGGGGGTTAGGAGGGTCAGTTGGTCCAGCAGTCAATCTTGCCGCAGTGGTGACGGCTCACGGAGACCTCCTCAGTGGTGAGTTTGGTGACTGCTGCAACACACGACCCCCACAACTCGCCCAACGCTAAACTAACTAATGATTCAACGCTGAGTGGTGGTACTTCTCGAGCTGTGTCCCCAGCCACACTCACCCACAGCCTCCCCCTGTTCACCCCGAGGAGGACCTAACCCAAATCTAGGCTCAAGATGGTGTGTTTATGAGTCTAGTTGCTTCTCACGTCCCTTCATTACTCTACCTTTATTTATTTAGGACAAATTATGAGCTAGTCTTGATAACTTATACTACACCACCCACAAGGTGGTGTATTCATCACTAGTGTGGTTTTTCATATTTATATCCAAGGAAATCAAATTGAACCCTTGCCTCGTTGATCTAACTCATGGTGTAGTCATGTTATTAACTAGTGACGCTCTCAGTAGCGAGCGGACGTCAGTACATTTGTGTTCCAAGTCACACGCATACTGTACACAATCTTGCCTTGTTGACCAAAAGTAAATTATGATCCACCCGTCATCCAGTTGGAAATGGAAGAGTTAATATATAGAAAAACAGGTAACCAAAAAGGTTTGTTACCTCAGTAACAATACACCTTGAGGGCAGCACTCACCTGTGAACCAACTCGGCTGTGGAGTCGACGGTGGAGGCGGTGGCAGTGGAGGCTTCCATGAGGGAGGGCTCCCCCTCCAGGCTGCCCTCCACTACCCCTCCATCTTCCTTCAGCACGGCAGTAACAGCACTGGTGTCTACTATGAGGCCAGCCCCCCGCGCAGCACTACCCAGGCTGTGGGTGCTGTTACTGCTGGCGTTGCTGTTGTTGCGACTCATGGTGGGTGCTCCTCTCACGCTGTTGTTGCTGCTGTGTCTGGTGCGGCCACCGCTGGTCGTGCTGCACGTGCTGTTGTTGCGCGACGCCCGGCTGTTGGTGGTGGCAGTGGTGGTAGTGGTGGTTGTGATAGTGGTAGTGACAGGGGTGGTGGTGGTGGTGCTGAGTCTGGGGGCCAACTCCAGGTGTTGGTGCAGTGGCTTGTGCTCATGGTGGGTGTATAGACCAGACCTGTGGTAGGCGTCGCCTTGCTCCTGTCCGAACAACAACACACTTCACTATCATGGTAAAAAAAATAAATAAACAGCATACAGTATAGTAAAAACGCATCATCAGAAAGCACCATAACCTCAACAACTCTAAACGATACATAAAGAAAATGTTTCACTTGTTGTATCTATCAAAATCAAAACGATAATCCTTAATACACACAGACACAAAAGCTAAATAATCCATAAAATATTGGACAGATTGGGTTATGAACTATCAACCAAAAAGAACAAAAAACGTGACGACACATGAGGAAGATAATGCGCCGGAGATTACAAGGAACCTACCGTAGAAGAGGTCCTGGAGGAGGCCATGACTGGGCTAGAAACGTCCCCTGAACGTTGACACGACGGCTACTGGGTCTACGTCAGGAGCTCGTAGGGGCAGGTAGGGTCTAGGTAGTGTGTGGACAAGGCCTATTGTGCGTGAAGGGGCAAGGTATGGGCAGGGTGAGTGTGTGGATGAGGACCAAATTAAAGCCGTGGGAGGGTAAGTTCAAGGCTGGGTGATGAGGGGGGGGGGGTCAGGTCAGGGTGTTAAGGGGAGGCTGATGGAGGTCCTACCCGCCAGCCATTACTATGGAGAAAGAAACAGACGGTCAGTTGCCAAGTTCCATACAGCCTAATCAACTTAAATAATAACATGACAAATATATATTAACTATAAAAAACTATACTCGGTACCCTTTCTAACATTTTTATATATGTTTACTCAATAAATACTCACCAAATATATCTATAATGGCATTTGTAATTAATGTACCACTTCATACTGAAGAAACAACAAATATAACGCAGTTCTCGCTCACAGCCACTACACCTGGTAACACTGATCATGAGAAATTAATTAAAATTCATAAATCAACTCGAAAACAATAAATGAGAGAGAGAGAGAGAGAGAGAGAGAGAGAGCTTTGTGGGCTCACGCCAGTACAACAAAGACTAAAAAACACTCTTTGTTTACACTGTTTATTAACGAGGAGATAAAACCCGGGTGACGGGCAATTAGATGCGGCGGTAAGGGCACTCCCCCTCCCCTCCCTCGTGACCCAGGTCAGTAGGTCACGGTCATTTCTCACTCCCCACGTACACCTTCCCTCACACTACTAGGTCACCCCGCGCTCCCAGGTTACCTTCCTTCCTTGTACTAAGTGATGACTTGTTTGTCTCCAGGCCACGATCACCCCTCCCCCTCTTCCCTCAGTCATCCTCGTCCTCCACGTTCACCCTCGTAGGTCATCAGTCTCTCTCTCTCTCTCTCTCTCTCATTTTGTTTGTTACAATATGTTGCTGATTTCTTGACCACTGCCTCCCGCCCGTTGGTTTACCTCAAATTAAATTATAAAGTCGTGAAAATTTCACCAACACACTTCACGTCCCCAGGCCTTAAAGTCACCATAGGTCATACTTGCGTCACTAACTCACCATAAGTCACATCTATGTCGCTAATTCATAATAAGTCACACCTACGTCAATAAGTCACACCTTCGCCCTGTAGGTCATCAGTCTCTTCTCTCTCTCTCATTTTGTTTGTTACATTATGTTGCTGATAAGTTGGATAAGTTAGTTTAGGTTTAGGAGGGAGATAGGAAGAAACTGGTTCACAAATAGGGTGGTGGACGAGTAGAACAAGCTTAGCAACTTTGTAGTAAGTGCTGGAACGCTGGAAAGTTTCAAAAGGAGGCTAGATAGATTCATGGATGATAGAGAGTGGTAGTAACTCTCGACAGGAGCTGCCATGCACAGGCCAACCGGCCTATTGCAGATTCCTTATTTTCTTATGTTCGTCGTTAAGTCACCCTTACATCTTGACACACACACACACACACACACACACACACACACACACACACACACACACACACACATCACCCAATACCACTAACTCAACTCGCCTCGAGATTACTAGAACAAAACAAACACTCCTCCCCGGTGCGTCACATTCAGTGGTTGTCCCTAAAGCATCATACACAGTGTGGAAACATAAAAGACTTATATGACACCATGGCCACCGTTCCACCCCCCCCCCCTTTTTTTTAACGTATAAACAAAAGCTAACAAGGTCGGGTCTTTTGTTTGACCGACTGTATTGCGTCACTGTGTGTGGGGGGGGGTCGTCCCAGTCATTTTTTAAGGTAGAATTGTTATATTGTTTCGTGTGGTGCAGTGTGGGCCAGGCTGCAGGCATGGGTGTTAGGCAGGTGTGAGTGTAGGCCAGGGTGTCTGCAGGTGTATTGTAAGCTAAGGAATAACGTTGCCTTTTGGCTGATATCTAAATAGGCATAAAATAAGTGTAATCCACAACGTAAACAAGAGTAAACTAGGTTGTAGGCTGGAGGGATAAAAGGGTCAAGACTAGGGTGTTAAGTAGATAGCCTATAGGGCCAGTGTACGCTGGCGTGCAGGCTGGCCGACAATAACTCTCTGGGCGTGGCTTGCCAGATTTCATTACATAACTCTGGTGGCGGGAGGGCGCGGGGAGGCGGGCGTGCGGGAGGAGGTGACCTCGGCTTCCACGCCTCACACCCACCGCACTGCTCACCCTGTGCGTGTGTGTCTGTCTGGCTGTCGTGTGCTAATTGGCCTGTCTCGTCCCCTCCCCCATGACCTGACATGGAGGAACCGGGTTCTGAATTGCTCTTTAAAAGCGGACGACGTCGCGTCATTTTATGGAAGACGCGGCAGACAGAAGTAGGTGGCGCTAGATGTGTAATTTCTTCTTTACTTCTGTCTAACATATTAAAAATGTTTCGTCTTTTGATAAAAATTAACAGTAAATGTGAACGTAATGTGGTGGTGTTTGGAGAAGGGTCAGAGGCACATCTACATCGATAAATTAAGAAGTGCAAGAGTTCACTCTTCTCTGACAATATGGCCGTCTATACTACACCAGCTCTTCTGTATCTTATTCACCTGATTTTTTTTAATCTTTTGTATTCTCAATCACAACAAAGACGACCACGAATAGCCCCCGGTGCTGGTGATTTATAACAATAATGTATACAACAACAACAACAACAACAAAATAATAATAAAATAATAAACGAGAAACTCAGACAAATTAAAGCCGCCTTGTTTATGATAAATAGTGTTCCCAACCCGTCCATTCATCACCGTGCACAGTGACGTGATTAATGCCCATAAGGTTTCGTGGCCACACACATACACGTATAATATATATATATATATATATATATATATATATATATATATATATATATATATATATATATATATATATATATATATATATATACGCGTGTGTGTGAGAGAGAGAGAGATTTCAACGCTGTGTCCAACTTGCCATGCAAGGGAGGATCTATTACATGTGGCGGGCAGGGATGTGAGGCTTTACAGTACTGTGGGATATACAGGACTGAAGAGAATCCAGAGTTGAGGGATTTCGATAGGTGTTGAAATTCCAGGTCTGTGTGTCCTACAGTGATATTTCCAGGGCTGTGAGAATTTATTCTGTGGAATTTTCAGAGCCGTCGAGTATAGTGTTGTGGAAATTCATTAAGTGTGGGTCATCCACTGTCGTTGAACTTCCAGCATTGTGTGACTTTGAGAGCACTTTGAGGTACTGGGGAAACTCCAGCACTGGACTGGTGCATTTCAGACATTGATAAATCATTCACTATGGTAGTTCCAGCATTGTGTAATTCCTCAGCAATGACCAAAACACACTACAACACCCGCAACACACAACAACAACTTGCCGCAACACACAACAACAACTTGCCGCAACACACAATAAAAACTTGCCGCAGCACCCGCAACACAGCCAAACAGGCTCTGCGTGAAGCATATAACTAATACACACGTAACTGCCTATCTCAAAAGCTATCAACTCTGATAGTTTCGTGCAAGCGCGCCATAAATTGACTGTTTCACTTCGGGATTAAATATTACGCGGAATCACGTGATTTTGTGATTACGTTATCTGAGTAACAATAAGACTGTGTGAAGGAGGTGTTCTGTTCCTCCACGTCTTGGTGACCTACACTCATCGTCGTGTACAAGGAGACTCGTGTAGGAAGAACCATAAAAATAAAAAGACACTAAAAAACACCAAGTTCATCTATTTCTTGTTTATTATTAACATGTTTGTCATCACTATCAAGGTATTTGTTTACTGACACTGAGCTCAAAGGTAAACGCAGTATATAATTTGAGAGCAAGTTTCAGGAAATCGGTTTTCAAACTTTAGCAGATAACTTTAAGTACATCATCAATTAATAAATTCAAAAAAAAATTTCACTCCAAATCTTGTTAATTTCCCCATAGGAGTGGACGTAACACTTATCGGCGGTCTGTACTTTACTATCTCCAGCAGCTCAGTAAAAGACTAAAGGTGCGCCTCCTGGCTTATTCTTTATGTTGTATTCTGTTACTTCAAAAGCAACCGATCTCTCCCACCTAAAGAAAGAAGCGAGAGTAAAACCTGACAGTTCATGGCGAGATTCGTTCACCATCTAGCGAAGAAAAAGGGGGAGCGGCTGCCACGGCTCGTTTCCGGCAAAATGTTGAAGGGTTGGCGTCGCTGGCCGGGGTGTTCTTTCATCAACATGCAAATTTGGTGGGCCACACACACACCACCTGAGTGGCAGACGGGTCGCTCTCAGTCTGCTGCTCATATATTTTACGCGCGCCGCTCACGATTTGACAGAACCCACGCCTACGCGGGTAACCATCTGACTACAAAACAAGATGGCTTATTGTAAGGAGGTCTATCTTTGAACACATAACATACATACTTATTCGATTTCAAATAACCGAACCTCCATCCTTAATCTTAAGCAATGGCGTCAACAAAAATCCCTCTACCTCAGTGAACCATTACACATAATATCGACAACAATTGGCAGCGTCTTCTGGTGTTAATAATGGATCATCCTCAAAAGTTCTCCTGGAAGTTTGTTAAGTCTGACGATCACTGGTTTAGGCCATCGACGCACCACAAGTCAAGAATTAGACCCAAGCTTCACTTTATACATTATGTCAGCAAGTTTAAGATAGAGCGAGTATGTGTTATTATCCCTACTTGTCTTTACCCATTTCCCGTTACTTAGGTTCCCGTCCTAATAGGCCCCATTATGATATTTACCCATTAGAACTATGTCCCAACAAGAAATGAGGTCCATTAAAACTAGATCCCATTACAAAAGGGGGTCCATTATAACAATTCTAATGACAAGGGTTAGGTTAGTTTGAAGGATGTTAGGATTGGGCCATTTCACCAGTCACCGCTAATATTAATGTTCTGCACCAACCACCGTGAGCTGACCCATCTCCTCTGCACCTTACCATACATGGCCGTCTTGGCTGAGCCCCAAACACACCCAGGTATCAGGTGAGGCCAGGTGGTGGGTCTCACATACCACCTGCCTGGCTCACAATGGCGCCGTTTCTTGTTGACATTGTGACTGTAAGTTTATCAAGCACACCCTAACAGTCTCTCACTCCTTTCCGGTCATTACTCACCATGATGACAAGTCTCAGTGCCTTAGTCTGCTAACTTCATCTGGCATACACGCGGCTATAACATACGTCTTGCAGATACTCTATTAATTGACTACGCCAGGCAGGTAACTATGTCAAGTAGATTATCAAGTAAATACGTTTGGCAGATATTCTAATTAATTCTATTTGCCACATACTCTTCAAACTCCTTCACACAGACACTATACATGGTACTGGATGTGTTCTCCTACCTAACTAATCATAGTATACTCTAATAATAAATTATATATGGCGTGCCCTATGAACTAACTCTACTTGACGAACACTCTAACCTATTCCACTTAGTGTAGAGACCTGAGGGCGTGGGCGTGTGGGCGAGTGAAGAAGCTTCCTGACTACCCGAACACTATAGCTCACCTGAGTGTGGTTGGGCACGGGCGGGTTGTAGGCGTGTAGACGGGGATCAGTAGCTTTGGTTCAGCAACAACATCGCCTGAAAAAAAAAATCACAAATTACATTCGATATCCACAGGAATTACAATTAAATCATTATTAGCTGCCTATTGTCTCCTGCACTTGACAACCATATAACACCTAGACTAAGAGAAGCTAAGCAAGGTGAGGCGTCTCCTTTATACCACGGGAGGCAGGTAATCAAACAACACAGAAAGCCTCTCACTGTTAGCCCATCTAATAATAAGACGTGATACCCCCGGGACACGTCACTGCTCCTCTCAGATACTGCCACGTATCACCACAATTATACACGTACATTATACATCACCTGCTGAGGTTAACTGTCCAGGGCGCCCACAACAACACACGAGGGGGGAAATTAAGATAAGTGAAACGCAGAGGGCACCACGGAGGAAACAAGTTACAGGGACAGGTAACAGACAGGGTAAAAGCCAAAAATGACAGGTCGGGTACAAGCCACACAGAGAGGTAGACAGACACAGACAACATTGCTAACAACAGACCGTAACTGGTATAGGGAGGGAGGTAATAACTGCACGTATTTCTTTGTAGATTCCCCACACGCGTCCTTTTTTTGTGGGGGGAGGGAGAGGGGGGGGGGTTAACCGAGCAGCCTACGTCCATTACCACTTCCCCTACCACGGGGGGGAGGGAGGAGGAGGAGAAGCTGTGAGAAAAGATGGAGAAAGTACAAGAGGAGGAGGAGAAATAGAGATAAAGGAAGGGAGGAGGGGACGACGCAGGGAAAGCACATGAAAGCCAAGACGACGATGATTTAAGAGACGTAAAACAAATGCAATACACAACACGAAAAGGATTCTCTTTACTACAGCGACTGAGAATTCTCTTCCTCCTCTCTGTCTCTCTTCGAAGTATGGGAGGAAGGGAGAGACGGGAGGAAGAGAAGAGACGGGAGGAAAAAAGAGACGGGAGGAGGGAGGGACGGGATGAAGGGAGAGACTGGAGGAAGAGAGAGACGGGGGAAAGAGCCAACGGGGTGAGGAGACGGAGGGGAAGGGAGGGAGATTCAGAGAAGGATTTCACGAGTTTTTACACTGAGGTAAATGGGTGTTGTTTGGGGAACTAAAGTTACACCACACAGCAGGTACTCCGCCTCCTTTACCTACCAACACACCGTAACTCACCAACACACTGTCACTCACCAACACACCGTAACTCACCAACACGCTGTCACTCACCAACACAACCGTCACTCACCAACACACCGTCACTCACCAACACACCGTCACTCACCAACACGCTGTCACTCACCAACACACCGTCACTCACCAACACACCGTCACTCATCAACACACTGTCACTCACCAACACACCGTAACTCACCAACACGCTGTCACTCACCAACACACCGTAACTCACCAACACGCTGTCACTCACCAACACACCGTCACTCACCAACACACCGTCACTCATCAACACACTGTCACTCACCAACACACCGTCACTCACCAACACACCAGAAGCATTAACACAAATATCACCGATACAAGACCGCACAGAAACAACAGCTTAAAGGAAAAAAAAAGCTAGCATCAACAAACAGCTAAACTGAGAAAGCTAAACAACGGCATGAAGATCTATGTCCAAGCTGAGACTTACACGTAGAATCTATAGTCTTTTTTTCAACATCATAATACTGACAGACGGATGCAAGGGAGTAACACTATGTACCCCCGTCTTACCATAAGGCGGGGTGCAAAAATAATCTTTTTATTATTGGGATACACAATCAATTCCTCTCTCTCTCTCTCTCTCTCTCTCTCTCTCTCTCTAACCTATTACAACAATACTGGTCCACTACAACGTACATGAACACAGGAACAAGAACACACGTACAAGAACACACGAACAAGAACACACGAACAAGAACACACGTCCCAAGGTTATTAAGAACGGTACGTAATAACCACACACGTTAACACTTGAGGTTATTCATCACGAACACTATATAGCTGGCCAGGCTACACACACACACACACACACACACACACACACACACACACACACACACACACACACACACACACACACACACACACGTAAAAAATACGAAGGAAAATACTAGTCCGCAGTTCATGTGTCACGGTAGAGTGTCTGCCACAGTTATGAGGAAATTCTCCTTACCACCAATTATAATATAGGCCTCTCTGCCACAGTTCAGTATGTCCGTCTATCTGAGTTAAAGTAACAACTATAAGCTTACACAGCCACCAACAGCCTGACACAGCTGGCATCTGTGGCCTGGATATTAATATACTGTACATCAGGTGTGGCTTTCAAGGTTCCCAGGTAACACACACACACACACACACACACACACACACACACACACACACACACACACACACACACACACACACACACACACACACACACACACACACACACACACACACACACACACACACACACACACACACACACACACACACACACACACACACACACACACACACACACACACACACACACACACACACACACACACACACACACACACACACACACACACACACACACACACACACACACACACACACACACACACACACACACACACACACACACACACACACACACACACACACACACACACACACACACACACACACACACACACACACACACACACACACACACACACACACACACACACACACACACACACACACACACACACACACACACACACACACACACACACACACACACACACACACACACACACACACACACACACACACACACACACACACACACACACACACACACACACACACACACACACACACACACACACACACACACACACACACACACACACACACACACACACACACACACACACACACACACACACACACACACACACACACACACACACACACACACACACACACACACACACACACACACACACACACACACACACACACACACACACACCGTAACAAAATAGTTTCGTCAAAGGGGAGTGAAATTATGGAACTACAATGGAATATATTAAAGCGCGCGGCCACACACAGGTAAACACACAAGACGCTCCGTAATCTCCAGGTGTGTTCAGGTAAAATTAGGTTCCGCATAATCTTGACAAAAATAATGTATTGCCGTTGTCAGTCACAGAAGGAAAACCATGCAAGTAAACACGCATAGACAGACAGACAGACAGGAAGGTACAGTTGACAGACAGAGAGACACAGGTAAATAAACAGATAGACAGACAAACACATACATATTAACGAATGATTAATCAAAGTAAACAAATTAGAATATAACGATAACACAGGCTAGATAACAACATTTGCTATCATAAGAGGCACAACACACTCGATAACTCAGCCAATGAGGATAACATACGCTACATTAACCACCATAACTGAGATACTACAATCATATTATCCTTGATAGCATGGTTAAGATAAACTAAGATAACACAGGTGTAAGACAACTAATTCGTGGGTTAAAAATGTTGCTATTTGAACATAATTATCATGATATAATTAAGATAACACATGGAGGATGACGGAAAATGATAGCTAACAACGAGGATATTGATAACACGATTGATAAAACAACTGCTATGATAACACCTGTGACCAAGATATCAACATTGAGATAAGATAACATTGGACAACCGCGTAAAATTGTCACTCGCTCCCTACCACCATCACACCTACTACCATCACCACCACAACTACTACCATCACCACAACTACCATGTGTCCAGCATATTCAAGGCATAAATTCGCAATAATTAAAGACCAGATGATGATATTGATGATGATGAGTGCACAAGAATGAGAAGATACTAACGATGAAGAGATATTACAAGATAATTAAGAATATTGATTGGAAATTCTCCTTAAACTTCCGTACGAAACTTCAACTCAATTTAAGTGAGGAGCAGCAGCGTCATCTATAGGTAAAGCAAGTAGATGGGAGATTTGATCCAGCATTAGTCAGTGTCTCGGGGAACTTTTGTTAACATCTAAATGGCCATTACAGTTACCTTATCAAAAAGCTTCGTCATTTCTAACCTAACCACATGAGAAACAAGAATGCGAACAAAATAAATACTGATAACAAATTAAAAAAAATAATAAAGGAAAATAGAATTAAAAATAACCCATAACCCAAACAAATAAGACAAATTACGATACAGGTATTTAAAGGGACATTATCACAGACCAGGTAACGAATATATCAAGAAACACAAGAAAAAAGAATTATAAAAATGCGTTTCTCGTCTCAGCTCTAAAAAAAAAAAAAATTCTGCAGGTAGGTCGATGTTTTTCTCGCCTATTTTCATATATGTTTCAACCATCCAACCGTTGACCTGTAAATGGACGTGACAAGGTTAAGATTTGACCACGTATTTTGTTTAGTATACATCTTTAAATTCGGAAGATTTATTCAATTTCTTCATCTATCCATTTTAGTTTAAGTGTTTAAGACCACGGCGTTATTGTCATACTGTGGACAATTGGGTGGATGTGAACCAACATCTCGTGACAAGAGGCAGGTGGCGGTAGTGGTGTGGTGATAGTGGTGTGGTGATGGTAGGTGGTGGGGGTGCTAATGGTGGGAGTTAATGACAGTGGGGAGGATGTCGAGAGAAGGAGGGGAGTGGAGGGGAGGGGAGGGGAAGGGATGGCAGGGTAGGCGTGCGAGATCCAAGGTCAGGTGGATGGGTGGTGGAAGGTGAGGCCATTCCGGGTCACTGTTGGCTGCGCTGTTTCTGCCTGTTACCAAAACAACGGGATGTTGTGTTCCTCGGGAGGATGTGTTAGGTTGTTAGCTATGTAAACAAGTCACACACAAACACACACACACACACACACACACACGTGACAGGGGCGTGGCGTGTGTTCCTGCTCCACCTGACGGCCAACACAAGGCTGCAGTATAACAACACAGCCGCGACCCCCACCACCACCAACACTGTCACCACCACCAACACCACCACTATCTCCACTACCACCACCACCATCA